TATTTCAGTGAAAAAGATCTATTGTAAGCTGAACAAAAGTACTACTTATACTTGCTGGGGATGTTTTTTCTCCTTGCATACAAAATAGCTTTACTTAGTAGGAAATAAGAAATTTGTTGTGATTCATTATTTCTCTAGCAAAAAAATATTTTGCATGGAGAAAGAGTCTTAACTAAAAGCACCAGCCTCTCTTAAAATATGTGTTCTAAAGAAAATTAGTGTTTCTTACAGACTAAACTGTCATTAGTAAATTATGTAAGCAAGCACCTTGGTACTGAGGATGAAATACGGATCAGTTACCTAAATGTGGTAGAACGTGTTTGAAACCTTGACTTAGCTTTAGTTCTAAATATTGGGAGCGTTCTCCTGTCTGATACCAGCATAGGGTAGAAAAGTAGCTGCCTTGATAACGACTGGAGTTGTGTGCTGCCTTTTGAATCCATTTCTTACCGCTCAGTCAGTTGACTTTTATTTTTTTGTCACGTAGTGGCAGCATTTGAAACAATCTCGTCTGCAGTGTTCAGTGTCTCAAATTGAGTAGAATCAAATCTTAGTGATAGAATAGGAGACTTCACATTGAGAGATGCACCTGTATTAGCTTTCAGGAGACCAGGCTGACTGAAGCTGTAGAAACAGCTGCACACGTACCTTCATAGTGGTCATCAAAAGATGGGGAACGGAGAATTGGAAATCTCGGGGAGCAGCACAGAGCCTTGGTGCTTGGTAGCACGTCTGCATCAGCAGCAGGGGTTCTTTACCTCTGTGTCTGCTTGTGTGTCCTCCATCAACCAGGCTTCCTCTTGGTGGAGCCCCGGGGGAAGTCGGGCACTAAAGCCTTGCCTGCGCCTACAGAAAGAAGATCCCTCAGTTAAGGCTCTGCCCGTGCTAGGACCTGCTGGTGCTACTTGTAAAGATGTGATGGGGGGTGTACTGTAAGTCAGTAAGATTGAACCAAAATAAACCCAATTTAAACATCTGCCCTACTGAGCCTTAAATTGGCCAATCTGAATGGCTCAGGTTGGGCTTAGTTACTGATTCGTAGTTGGGTCTGATAGATAACTTAGCACGGAATTTCTAAATGCGTAAATATGACTAAATTTGGAGTCCTGACAAGCTTCAGTAAACTTGTGAGACTTATAAACAAATTAAATGTCAGGTTATTTTAAGAGCTGTTCTGATAATATTGTGAAGTGCAGGTTCTATAAGAAAGTGCAACAAAGGAAGAATGGTTAGAGTGTGTTACACTTCAGTATCCTCTGGGAAGTTAGTAAAGTTTTGACTGATACTCAACCAGGAGAAAAATTTCTCATGCGGTACTAAAATTTTATTTGAGCTAATTACATGGACTGTTCCCGAGATGTATTTCTTAACAATTGCGTGGGGTTTTTGTTTGTATCTTTCAGATGCTGTGCCACTTTTTCTGAGACTGCTGCATTCACCTCATCAAAATGTTTGTGAGCAAGCTGTGTGGGCTTTAGGAAATATCATAGGTTTGTGTTACTCCTGCTGCTAAATACTTCTAAGTTCCTTTTGGTATTGAATGAATAGACTAGGTAGGATTTTTTTTTTGTGTGTGTTAGAACTTGGAGAGGCTCAACTACGAGACAAAAGGCAGCTGTTAGCCTGGCAATTACCCTGTTCTTATTCCTGTTTTCTCCATTGTGTATCGATGGTGTGCACCCAAAACCACATGCCTACACGCTTATATTCCCAGTACAGGAAAAGGAATTACTGGCAGACAGACTTGCAGATTATTAAAGTAAAAACTGGTTTTATTTTTGAGTTCTGAAATTTTACCTGAGCTTACGTAACCGTGTTGCATTCTAGATAAGACGCGATCAGTTGAGCTTTCATTTGGTTTTTAACTTGTCTTGTGCAAGTGTTGGCTTTGCACTTTACAGCCCTGACTGTGTGTGTGTGTAGTGCTTGAGGTCCAATACCCGTTCTGACACACTGAGATTTCTACAAAATGATATTTTAGAAATGCCTGGTCCTTCTTAAGAAGCAAACCAACAAAATGCACGATACTGTAGCTGCCTGGAGCTTAGTGATGTGTGCGAGTACAAGTCAGATGCTGCTTTTGAGGCAGCTGGGCAGTGATGAAAACTGAGTGTTTCTCTGGTACAAAGATGACAGTATTTTTCAGGCAGTTTTGAACTACTCTTGGGATTTTTTAGTATTGATTATAAACTTTATGATGGGATCTTCAGTAATTTGTTGGGCTATCAACTATTCCTGGTGATTGTGCTTTCTCTCCACCCCTTTTTCTCTTGCCCACTGCCACCCAGCCTGTACATCTGCTATAAATTGTGCAACACTTTCCTGTGAGGAATGTAGCTGGGTTTTTGAGTAGTTCAAAGTGAAGCAATTAGACAGCCACAGGTCCTGTTAAGGCTTTATGTGTGATAGATGTATCTGTATAGATATGTATCTCTATATATTCATCTTTCCAAGGCCCATATTATTAACTTTAGTTATTTAAAATGCACACAAAGTTTTAAACGTGAAGTTAGACTTTTTATGAATGGCATGGGATGATCTTTGTCTTCACAACTCTGTCTCAAACAGGTGACGGACCCCAGTGTAGAGATTACGTTATTAGTCTTGGAGTAGTGAAACCACTGCTGTCCTTCATCAGCCCATCTATTCCCATAACTTTCTTAAGAAATGTTACTTGGGTCATGGTCAACTTGTGCCGTCACAAAGATCCTCCTCCACCGATGGAAACCATTCAGGAGGTGACTGAATTACTCGCTGTTCAGTGTAACTAAACTGCAGTTGGGTATCTGTCTGCCTTAAAAATAACTGTCAGCTGCCTCTTTTCCTCCTTAGATCCTTCCAGCGCTCTGTGTTTTAATTCACCACACAGATGTAAATGTAAGTAACACCACTTAGAGACAGTTTTATGTTCTGGTAATAGCTTTTTAGCTGAAGTATCATGCTTGTAATAACTTTTTTTCTTGGGAGGAAAAAAAAAAAAGCGCGTTGTTCTCTTTCATTATGGAAAACTTCTTTTGATATCTTCAACTGCTTATTTTTAAGTATCCGTTAGGATTTTTGCCTGGTATTTCTCTGCATCTTTGCAAGTGCTTGTTTTCACGCGCTTTCCTTACGCTTAAAAATAAAATGCAGTTTCAGTTGTATTTCTGTGAACGTTTACAGATAAATGCAGGATTTTCTTGACTAGCACTTGAGGCTGTAATGAAAATCAGTGTAAACGAAAGAAAAAAATTAGTGTCTGCTGCCTACGTAAAACGTTAGCTTTAGATGTAACTACTGAGGTGTTAAATATGAACATCAGGTTATTTTAATAGTGAAGTAAACGAAAATTCACTGAAATTATTAAATAGGTCAGCTTTTTGCCTAAACATAGGTTAGAATTCTTTAATTCTTTGCTTCCTAGTGAAGTTGCAGCTCAGTTGTCTGGTAACAGTGCTTTACCAAAATATGTTTATGTATTAACTAAAGTTTGTGTAGCAATTATACCAGTGAATTTCTCATATATAAGTAAGTGAAATTAAGCTTCTTTGAATTTCTTGAAAGGGCTATATTTGTGAATCAGTCAAGAGCTGTCAGCTGAAACAATGCTCTTTTTTACTAAGTGGTCACTTGAAATGTTCAGAATTACTGCTATTTAAATTGGTTTTCCTGTGTGTGAACACACACAGAGGAAATTCAGTCTTAAGTGCTGCCTCACCAGATGTTAAAAAAAAAATAATTCAGAGCTTTTCTTAAATTTTGTGGTGGAATGCCAAGAAGAAAGTAATTTGATGCCATGTGATGTAGAGCTCATTGGTTTGAGAGTGCTTAATGTTTTGTAGTTTAATATTTGCTAGGGCTTGATCTTCCTTCCGGGGGGTGGTGTGTCTCATCTCTCGTTGTCTACCATGAAAAGAGCAGATAGAATTGAATTGCTTTTATTATATCCTTCAGAATTTAAGCTGTAATTAGCAGTTTAGCTGGTGGGGTTTTTTTTTATTTTCTGTGTATTCTTTAGAGCTAGAACAGGTTGAACAGCGTTTGTATTTTAGGCTTCTGTAGAGTGGAATGTATGAAGCTTGTAAAACAAAGTGGGTTTTTGCTGTATTAGATCAATTCTGGCTTCACAATGAGAATTGTTTTACGTTGGTTTTTAATAAGCTTTGTGGTAATTCTGTGCTAATTACAAATAAATGTTTTTACTGTTAGATATTGGTAGATACAGTCTGGGCACTCTCATATCTAACGGATGCTGGCAATGAACAGATCCAGATGGTGATAGACTCTGGAATAGTCCCTCATTTGGTTCCTCTCCTCAGCCATCAAGAAGTTAAAGTGCAAGTAAGTTTGGATAACTTGAAGGAATTGTTGCTTAAAATGTAACACCAGAGAAAATTCACTGTTATGGTTCATGTTGAGGTTCAAAGAATGCCTTTTTCTGTATGGTACAGCATTTGCATAAAACCTTTTGCTTTTTTAACTATTTGAAAGTATGTGCTCAACGAGAAAAACTAAAAAAAACCTCTTTATAAAGAAAGTGTTTTGTTTCAGACTGCTGCGCTGAGAGCTGTAGGAAACATTGTCACTGGTACCGATGAACAGACACAGGTAGTTCTGAATTGTGAAGCTCTTTCACATTTTCCAGCACTTCTGACACATCCCAAAGAAAAAATTAATAAGGTGAGTAACTGCAGAGATTGCACCTGATTTATAACATTTTTTTATATTTGTCTTAGCTGTTCAGATTCCACGTGATGTAATGTGTTAGAGGTTTGAGTAATTGAGTACTTATACCAGTTTATGGTAGGAGCAAGTAGGATGCTGAAATTTTTCTTTAAGTTAACATCCGTAAAAAAATCTCTTAAGGAGCTGCAAATTTATACTTGATAAGAATGTTGTTCCCTGATTATTCTAATTGAATTTTTATGAAATTAAAGCTTTATCTTGTAATTCTGGCTGCTGACTTAAAAGTTATAGAGTTCTTGATATGCCAAATGTCACTTTAATTAAACTGATTCTCTTGGAAGTGATGAAATAGAGATAATTGGATGTCTCTTTGAATGCAGTATGTGTGATAAATGGAATTTAAACCGAGTCAAGCTGGGGGTAGGGGGTGGGGAGTGCGTGTGTGTGTGTGTGTGCATGTATAGAAAAGGCTTTGAGCGGGGGCACTGATAATGCAGTGCTGATTCCGGAGTGCATCTGAGGCGTGTTGTTAACTTCCAGGGTGCCACTTTACAACATTGCCGATGATTAAAGCCCAAAACAAGCCCACCAAGATAAGCCTAAGCATCCTTAATCTCTAACAGGTTCATGAGTAAAAGTGATCCTGTGATCTGATCCAAGAGACTCAGCTGAATGAAATGTGAGGATTCCTCACCAAAAAGTTGTCATGCCAGATAAATAGAGAGGAGAGGGGAATTGGGGAGGAGTGATTGAGGGTTTTCAGGAAGGGAGAAATTTGTTAACTGTAGGATTAAAACAAGGTGATACTAAAAATTTTATCCGAAGCTGTTCATTATTTCTTGACTAATTCTTCCTTAAAAAGGGGTGGGGAGTGCTTGATCCTTTTTAACCAGATAATCCAGGTACAGTCTTTGGTTTAGTTCAAAATTTCAGCTGTTTGGGACTGAGAGGGGGTCTGCTGGGGAAAAGATCTCGTACGCTTCCCTCAGCACCTGCTGTTGGTTATCGCTGGAAGGAGAGTCCTGGGCTTACAGATCATAATGGGTCATGTAACTTTACAGTATTCTCGAAGAGCAAGCAATTAAGTAATAGGTCTTGCATTTTCTTGATGATTGATGCTAAGAGGAGAAACACGAAGCAGGTAAAGAAGGTACTGTCTTCTGCTGCTCTTGTGGCCAGAAAATACAATGCTGTGGAGCTTATCTGCATCAGCTGAAAACTGCTTTTGCATTCATTCTCAGTAATGGAATCAATTAGGAGCGCTCATCTGTAGCCTTGTAACTTTTTTGTCACAAATAATTTTTCCTTTTAATCCATAGATATGGAGTATTTGATTGTAACTTGGTAACAATGAAAGACTGAAGAGTCTCGTGGAGTCTCTTCAGGCGAGATGGTGTGCTCTGTTGCCTGTACCTGTAGCCCAATTCCTAGGAATTCAGCTACATACAATCAAACTGACACAATACTTGACTGTATTTAAGATTGGCTAGTGTATGAATTGCAGATCTGAAAATGTGCCCGTGTAAAATCTTGCTGGAGTGGAAATAAGATATGATACAGAGGACTGAATTAATAATTTCTCATCTCCTTTTATTTTGCAGGAAGCAGTGTGGTTCCTGTCTAACATCACTGCAGGAAATCAGCAGCAAGTTCAGGCAGTAATAGATGCAAACCTTGTTCCAATGATAATACACCTTCTAGATAAGGTTAGAAAACAAAAAGGATTTAAGAGTTTGTTTCTTAAGTTGGGGAAAGTGACAATTCCTTGCTTCATATTTTAATGTAAATGTGGGGGGCAAGGGTAAACTTACGCCCTTGAGCATTTTTTTCTGTGTTGCAAGATAAAATACATTACTGTTGATATTCTTTTTATGGAGTGCTGTGAGATGATGAGTGCCAGATGTATTGGGGAAAGGAAGCAGATCAGGGGATCTTGGGTCCTTCGAAATCTCATTTAAATTGTTTTTCTCACTTTGTAAACAATGGGGATAGAATTCTTTATTCTCACGTGTGGCCTGAAGAGGTCTGGATGGGAACAGCATTGAGTTAGTTCCCAGCATTTTGCCAGAGCTTAAGGACTTCATCCTTTTTTTCCCACATTATGTGGAAACATAAGGAAGAGCTCAGCAGTGGTATTTATTAACCTGTTTGTGTCACTGCATTTATCTAGTCTGAGAGTAATCCAAGTACTGATCCTGCAACGCTGGATAATGGACTGGGGTTGTCCCATCTTTTTTTTTTTTTTTTTTTTTTAAACAAGTAAAACTGCATCAGCAAAAAATAGGTGGCCATGAAAAATAATTGTAGCTTTTGTGTGGTCAGTTTTTCCCAAGAAAAAACAACATGCTGTACACATGTATGGATGTGTGTTTCTTTTCAGGAGCAGATGAAGCTTTTGAGATGAGTGCTTTTTCCTACCTTTTTTATTACAGTCAAGCAGTTGCTCACAAACACTTCTGAATGCTTTTCCCATGCTTTTCCACATAGTCTCTCGTTGCTTGTTGAATACTAGAGGTCAGATGCTAATGGATCATTTTTGGGGACTTCAAATACCTGTATTTCTTTTCAGTTGTTGGGTGTTAGTGTCTTGTAAAACATCAATTTCCAAACCACACTGTCCTCCCAAGGATCTGCCTGTGAGAAGGATGGGTAGCTAGAAGCATGATTTTAGACAGGAACAGTACAATGGGTCTGTCTTACAAGCACTTTCGACTTTTTGCTTTATTCATTCCTTGTTTTTTCTTCCCTGAAGCGTGGAAGGAAGCCAGAAATACCAACCTTACGATGTCTTCAGCCATGACAAAGATTCAATATCTTGCTTCAGTGTCGAGGCTGGGGTTGAGACTGAAGGAATACTTGTCTTTTTTCCTAAGTAACACACGTAGCTGTCCACAGATAGTTCTGTTAACTGCCAGTTTGTTGATTGCTGAGAAGTTAGAGATGGTTCACTTGAAATTTAGTGAGCAGACTTCAGCTGGCTAACTTCAAAGGCAGGCACAGTTACAGTACGTACAGTGGTTTATCAAAATTGACACTTCCTCCTTATCTCTTGCTGTAATATGACAGCTGTTGATAAGGGATGTGAGTGTGGAGTACTACAGTTTTTATTTTGATGCAAACAAATTTCCCTTCCTCTGGAAGATTGATTTCAAAACATAGTTTCAGGCAAGGGAAGAACAGTGAACAGACTCAGATATCTACAGGATTTGTTAGTCACCTTCCCTGCTTACCAAAAACTGAATGGTGGTGCCATGCAGAATGGACTGTAACAAATGCAAGCTTTTACTAGAATGCTACAGAACAAAAACTGGAATGATTATTTCTACTTGTTGGTTGTATTTTAGGGTGACTTTGGTACTCAGAAAGAAGCTGCTTGGGCAATAAGCAACTTAACAATCAGCGGAAGAAAAGACCAGGTGAGTCAAAGCTTGAGAAAAAAACCACAGGATCTTTCTTGGGTGCATTTGAGAGAGTGCATCAGCTGAGTGGTTTAGACTAATGTGCCAGGATTAGGAATGTTTGGATTCCTCCCCTACTCAGGAACTCTCTTCCCTTTTTCCACAAGGGATTTAAGAGCAAACTTAAATTCAGTTGTTTGTGGAGTGGCCTGAGATCAGGAGGATCAGTGGGGCTGTGGATGGAGGCTCTTCTCTTAGGATGGCCAGGTAGCTCTGAATGCCTGCAGGCTCTTGCCAGATTCTTGGTTGTCTCGACATTTTTTTTTTGTTTTGCCCCTCCGGATAAGAGTGTGATAATTACAATGACAGTAGCCATTGAGTACAGGTGCATTGGTGTCTTGTAAGCCCAGAATATTAAATCTGCAGCAGGGTTAAGGGTGGTGGTGTTATTCCTCAAATACGAGGTGCAAACTCCATGTCAAATGCTGAAAAACTCACTGTATCTGCTGCTTGTGCATTGTAGGCTTGAAATATTTGTAACGTAATTCATAAATATTCTCTAAAACATAAGAATTCTCTAAAGACTTTAAAACAAGAATTTCTGAAAGTGATTGCTACAGAATACTCTTACCTTGCTGGGTAACTCTGAGTACTTTGACTTCATTAAACTTGTTTGCATTTGTGCTTGTGGTGCAGTGTTTGCTTCTGTCGCGCTCCTGATTTAACTGTGTGCTTTTTTTCCCCCCTCAGGTGGCATACTTAATTCAACAAAATGTAATTCCTCCCTTTTGCAATTTGCTGACAGTAAAAGATGCGCAAGTTGTGCAAGTGGTTCTGGATGGACTAAGTAATATATTAAAAATGGCTGAAGATGAAGCGGAAACCATAGCCAATCTTATAGAAGAGTGTGGAGGTACGATGCTTCATATTTTGATGCTCTTTTTTCAGAAGTTGATGGTTTGGCTTCCTACCACGTGTATATGCTGTTGGCTTTATTGTATTGGCACAGGTGTTTTAAGCAAGCCTTTTTAAAAAAGTGACCTTTTCATGCCTGTCAGGTGAATATACTTAGGTTTTTTTCTGAACTGATTTAAGTTCATGATCAAATATTACGTGGAGGAGTTGGATACTGGTCACAAAGTTTATTAGGTGCCAATTTTGTAACGGTCTGATGCACTTGGCAAATTAGTTTCTGTTGATGTAGGGATGATATCTTTACCTTAATGATGCACAAGTCATGTCCAGGTGAATCTGGGTTTAAAAAAAAAAAAAAAATCCAGTAGATTGCAGAAATATGTTAACTTTACTCTCCAAATGGCTTTCAGACTTTATGTTGTTTGCAATTTCAGTTGACTGAAACTCTCCAAGGATTAAAGAACAGTGATAGTAAATTTGGGCACTGGGATAAAACTGGGAGTTTGTTAACATGGAGTTTAATATACAATATCTTGAGGGGGGGCGGGGAAGCTTAATGGATTGTTGTTGGCTGCGAGGGAGAAAAGAGTTGTTAGTGCCTAAAGGTTTGCTTGTCAGGGCTTCAGAAATATTTGTGTGTATGCTCTACTCATGTCTGCCAGTAATGTATACTGTAGTGGTAGCTACTTGATAGATACCTATCTTCATTTTTTTTTTAATATCTATCTATCTATCTATCTAAATAAATAAAATGAAGCTACAGGTCAGTAACTGATGGCATGTGTGCCACCAGCAGTATGTGGATTTGGAGTGTCTCAGCTTGGGGCTGTCACACCAGGTGCTGAAAAGGTGTTTCTGTGAAAAGGGACTATGTCCTGGTGCCTGGCCACTGTTTCCACAGATCAGCTTAACCACTTGTAGCAAGAAGAGGAGGGAAGTACTATCATTGCTGCAATTGCCCTTTTATAACTTTTTATTTTTTGGTCATGCTTATGTATTCCTCAATCTCTTAATGTATTTCTGCAAATCTCTAAGAAGCTTTTATGCTTTAAGCATGTCAAATGAGTTTAACAGTGTCTTATTCATAATCACTCTGTGTCTAGATTTGGTTTTAATTCCTTTGTGTGATGAGGCCTTAAGGAGAGGGAGGTTGTTTTGCCTGAACTTAGTATTCAAATTCTATTACACTTCCTGTGTATTTATTGTAGGCCTGGAGAAAATTGAACAGCTACAAAATCATGAAAATGAAGACATCTACAAACTGGCTTATGAGATCATTGATCAGTTCTTCTCTTCAGATGATGTAAGTCTGTAATAGCTCTGCAATCTGCTTTTGTAATTGGTTGTTTATAAATACGGTTCAAGAGAAAGGCAGCCACTCTAACGCCTGCTCTGTGACATTGGTTTGGTTTTTCAGTGAAGAATGAGCTCTTACTCAAGCCTGTTGCCATATCTTGCCATGCTTCATGATAAAATATCTACAAATCTGATGCCTAATTTAAGACTTATCTCTAGAGATTAAAATACTGGGCTTTGAATTGTTTCTCTAAACCATCAGCCTCTGCCTCGACATTTCACATTTGATAAGCTCCCTGCTGACCTGATTACTGAATTTGAGATTCTGCTTCTTAAGAAACAAGCAATCTTGAATATTTTAGTAATTTTGGCGGTGCTGATCAAGAATGTTGTTTTCAGTTTTAACATGTAATAAATCAAAGGAGGGTTTTAGGTTTGTATGTCCTTTAAATTATAAAAGTTAATTGCATATCAAGGAAATGCAATCGTGTCAATCTGTCGTGAAGTGAGAGGCTTTTCTACTGGTTGAATAACTTTTGGGAGCAGGTCACTGAAAAAAACCTGGTAGACCTCAGTTGCCTTCGTTCCTGCTGTCAGCAGTGAAGTTAATTTTATGCTTTTACAGAGTTTTGCTTTTATATGAACAGTAAGACAGAAGTCTTGTTTAGCAACTCAAATTTTTCACAAACAGCAGGACTTGGAATTTAATCTGGTGTCAGTTTAATAACCTGTATGCTATCTGTTTGAATTGAAACATCAGTTTTGGCTTAATCCATATTAATTTAATGGTATTGGTTTTAAGGACTGTGGCAGTTTACAAGATGGCAGTAAGGATGATGCATGACTGACAGAATACTTTCAAGGAGCAAAAACTGCATAAACAGTTGAGACTGAGTGCCAGGTAGCCTACCTGCTAAATACAAACTAAAATGTTTTTGGCCGAAATGACTTTGTCACTATAGTGCTTGTGCTAATTTGGGAGAGAAGCATGGCAAGACTTGAGGCAAAGTAGTATATTCGGTGAAGAGATAATGCTCTTTAGGATTGTCCAGCTCCTCTTTAGTGAGGCTTTTATCTTTCTTTCCCTACTCATGATGTCCTTGTTCTGTTACAGATTGATGAAGATCCTAGCCTTGTTCCAGAAGCAATACAAGGCGGAACATTTGGTTTCAATTCATCTGCCAATGTACCAGCAGAAGGGTTCCAGTTTTAGAGTGGTATTTTGGAAGTTAGGTACAATGCAGCACTGAATAAAAAAAAAAAGGTTTGATCCATCAATCTTGGCTCATGGGATCCGCTGCTGCATTAAATCGGGAAAGAAAATGTGAAGATTTCATTTGGAATCACAGAAAAGCCCAAATGAAGTCAAGATGGCGAGTGGGTGCGAGTGAGAATGAGTGGCAAAATGTAATGAAAAACTTCACACTGAATGCTTATTTAGATTGTTCAAAGAAAAAAAAAAAAAAGGGCTATAGGTCAAAGATCTTCAGTGCCTGAGAAGGAACAATGACTTACTAGAGCAATTGGGGGGAAATGCAGTACTATCATCATCAAGCCTCGTAAGCATAAGAGAATAGGATGCCCACATAAGTCCAAGGAGAATGAGCCCAGGCCTTGCTATGAAGCACCGTGTGAATGGACACCACTGAGTGAATGTCTGGACTCGATGCTGTGGAGCCAGGCTGGCGTTTCAAATCCGGGGCTCTTCGCTCCTGAAGCAGGCTCCTAGTCCTGGAGTGGCGTGTGTACGAGAGTATGGTTGTGATGCTGTATGTGAACGCATGCAAGCTTGATTCGCCTTCAGGGGGCTGATAATAAACCTAGTAAATCATCAAAATGAGTTCATAAGTGTTAACTTACACTGGACACAAAAACAAAGACCGGTTTAGCAGCAGACTCTGGTTTACTCCTGCAGCCTGTGTTTCTTTTTTTTTGTTTTGTTTTTTTTGTTTGGTTTTTTTTTTCCTCCCTTTTATTTTTCTTTTAGTTCTTTCTAATTTCTTTCCTGTATGGCTTATTAGTTGTTTGTAAAGTCAGAATTTCAGGAAGGCTTCCCTGTGCATTTGCACCAGATGAATGTTTGATGTTATGAAAAGCTTTCCATATCATCAAAACTAATTTGTAGATTTTTGCATGAAAAAACCATACATTTCCCTTCAAATAGACTGTGTTGCAGTACACAAGTTGCCATAATAGTAGAAAGCAGTAAAATGTGGTAATAAAATCTCATCCTTTTCATTTTCAAAGATAACATGAAGACCTTTGCATGTGGTAATCTACAGCATAGTTCATTTTTAGATTTTGTTGAGTCCTGTAACCAAATGTTTCTGTTGTGGTAGAATACCGTGCTGTGTTTCAATGTTACTTGTTTTCAAACTTTGTTTTCTATGAAAATGATATGGAAACTTCTAAAAATTAAATTTGGTGCATATGTACTGCCGAATAAAGACCGAAAAAGAGGTGTGAATAGATGTACAAATCAAGTCATGGTTTGAACACCTTTAATATGCCTAATCCAATTGTTTTAGACTCTTTTTATCTTAGATGTAGGCAGCCATGAACAATCTATTTTGAGCCACTTTAGAGAGAAAACTTTGTATTTTAGACTTGCACAAAAAGGATGCAAGTGTTTTTATAATTGGAGTAATGCCTCAGTTTTGAGGTTCTGCACACTAAATTAAAGGTGATGTTACAAATTTGTACAAAATAAACTCTTTATAAGGTGGCTCATTGTAGGAAATGCTGTGCCTTCCCTTTTGAGCACAAGTGTTGCATGAACAACAGTTTGCTATAATAAAACATACCAGATTAGCCACCATTAGCATCTATATCTACCTTGTGTTTTAAAATCAACTGGTAATTCTGAAACACTGTTAGAATGGATAAAGATTATTTTGTGATCATAACTCTTTGTTGGACTAGAGTATTTTTGCAGCATTCCTTGTCATCAGAAACATGGTTAAAGTTTAAAACTAGAAGCAGCGGAAACTAGCTTGTGAAATTTATCCAAGTAGAGTGCAGGCTAGGCTGTCTTGGGGAAATAAACGTTAAAACTTGCAACAGTTGTATTTGGTGTGTCTTTGTCTATACGCTCCAGTTCCATCAAAAGGTGCAGAAGATCATTTGAAGGTGACATTGACATTGCTGAATCTTTTTTTTTTTTTTACCTGCCAAATGCCAGTGTGTTGTGTGGTATGTAGTCTCGAGGTAAATAACTACTTTGGTATAAATATTAAGAAATAACTAATTTACCTGATTACATAGCGTGTAGTCACTAAATATCGGGGCTGTTTTCATGTAAAATGTAGGAACCCTTAGAGGAGGTAAAAATGCTTAAACTGGTGTTTTTAAAGAAGTTGCAATGCCTTGAGTAAAATTACCCTTATTCCTAACTTCCCCTTTGTGAGGGATGTATTTTATTGTTAGAGTCCTTCCTCATATGTTTGTAGCAACCCTTGTATTTCTAAAACAACCCCAAACACTACGACGAGGTCTGTGTTTCCTGACAGTAAATTCCTCCTTTTGGCACTTCCCCTGATGTGAGACACTTCAAGAATTACCTTCAGCTGGTGCTGTGCTCACTGCAGCCTGTATTGATGCAGTTGGTGGTTTGTTGCTTCTGGTTTTTGGTGTTTAAGTGGAAAATTCGTCTGCTTCACAGCAGATCCTGTCGCTATTCTATTCTGTTAGTTTACCAAAATACGGAAAGGTTAAACATTTCAGCATCCACAGGGTGGCAGTGCTTGGGAGTTCTTCAGGAGAAAAACTGAAGCCAGTTTGGACACTGCCTTTTTTTTTTTTTTTTTCCCCAAAAAAGTTAAAGTTCGAGGTAAGGTAGTTAATTACATTGTTGGGGCGTTGTTTGGGATATAAATGAGAACTTAAATACCTATCGGATTATTAAGATGCCTTTAGGAATACCTATCAGATTATTAAGACTTCAAAAAGAAAGCATGAGTTACAGGTACAACCTTTTCTTGCCTACATGTGAAGATTAATAAATCTAGCCTCTGAGTTTATGGAGCAGTGGAATTAGGTCATCAACAGAAGCAACTGGGATGTTTCTCTTGTGACATTAAAGCTGTGACACCGAGTGTATTTCTCAAGCTGTTCGGTAGCAGAACGCTGCTCTGTGGTATTTCGATCGTAACCACGCAGATGGTAACTCTGGTCACTGTTCTTTGGTTCTAATAAAAATAACCAGAGATGCGGAGGTGAAGTGGGATGTTAACCTACTCTTTCAGGACTTTTAAGTAAAATCAAGCTTTTTCGTGAACTTAGGGTAGGTGATAACCAGAAAAAGACCTTGATGATACTAAAAGGACAAAAGTTAATCCATAATATAGGCTGTTCCAGGTAAGATTTCTATTCTGAGGAGCAGCATTTTTGGACCAAATGGGAATTTTAGGATCATGGGGTTATAGTAGTTGGTTTAGCTAGGAGGGAAGAACAGGAAAGCTTGAATCGAAGGGGATAGCTTGAGATAAGTTGACCCTGTTTCTTTTTCTCTCACTACTGGAAGTGGAATTAGCTGGCAGCTGTGAGAGGCCTTTCAGCACAGGAGAGTCGTTTGCTGGAGGCACGGAGCCTTGAACAGTCCCCTCTCATCTTTCCTCGCAGAACTTCTGTGGATCCCAGGCATTGCCAGTAAGTTGTTGACTTCTGTTCTGGTACTGGAACAGGCTAGTCTGACTCCTAAAAATAAAAGAATAAACTTCTGGATAGCGTGTTAAAATACAAAGCAACTTAAAAGGGTTTCATGTGAAATGAAACGCTGGTTAAGGCAATGTAGCCAGCCCTGAGCAAGAGAACCTGGTGACTTCTGTGTAACCACGACTTCAAAAGCCTCAAAGCAAACTGGATGTGCCAGGAAGGAAGGGGGGGTGAGTATTTCTGCTTAAGAGTGAAGAATCTCTTATGTATTTAACAATTCCTATCACACAGTATGTTGCATAAATTACCAAATTACTTTTGCTTCTTTATAACTAAGAATGTCTTTGTGTTACTACTTGTAGACTCCTTGCCACTTTTAACTATAAATGTTTCCTCAGCTCTGCATGTCACCAAATTACTGGCAAGGAAGGCTGGTCACAAGGCTGGAAACAATTATAGAAGTCCTGCATCTGGATCAAATCGAGTTTATGAAAGGAAACTTAGTAGCAGAAAATGTGTAAAGTTTACAAACTCTTCCTAATAGTAAGTTTTAGCTGCTGCCAGAGTGAAACTCAGAAGGCACACAAAATTAATTGAAAAAGTTAATATTGCTTCTATACCTACAGAAAAGTGACTGGGAACTTAATTTCTGTAAAGCAATTCCCATTTTTGCATGTAAATCCCTTCAAAGAGGGGTCCTGTGTTATTCTGCTGGTTTGGTGTGCTCCAAAGCTGAGGAAAAGAGTTTTCTTCAAGCATGAAAATTGTTATATGTAAATACCTTTTGATATGCTTTTAAATTTCAGTAAAACACCACTGAAAGTTGTTATTACTAGAAAACAACAAATGTGGGAAATTTTAAACACCAGCTATTGGTAAATGCATCAAGAAGCTCTGTAATTTGAGGGAAAGGGAGATGGTCAGTAATGAGAGCTCGCATCAGCAACACCAGACCATGGTCATTCCTAGAACGGCAGGTTTTCAGATTAAATATTGCTTCATCTTGAATTCTTATTTAAGTACATAAAAACACACTGGGCGTAAAACAACTTATGTTCCTACTCTGAACGTGAGTTACTGTAAATTATTGTCAAAATCTCCTTTGTTTGGTCTTCTGTAGCTTTTTCCTTCAGACTCTCCCGGTGTGTTGAGGAGGGTAGTAGAGAGGAAAGGATGATGATTTTTTTTTTTTTTTTATCCTTTATCATGTAGTACATGTAGCCCAGAAACAAAACTACTCCCAGGTTGAGCGCCTGTGCCGTTCGGACTTTGGGGCACTGCAGTTCATGAGTTCTGGTGTTGGAGTATACTTAGTGTAGATCCTGGAGTAAAGTATCAGTATCTTCCCCTCCAGCACCACAAAAATTAAAGTATTAACTAAAATTAAAATTTAAAGTAGTGATGAGCTGGAGCAGCATCTTTCAAAAAACCACAAACCAGGTTTAGACCTTTGTGAGCTTGGGGAGGGAGGGGAGGAGTGCGATACCATGGACAGCTACAGGCTTGGGAGTCTGAAAAATAACAGTTCCCTCAAATATCTTAAAATGAGAAGAGGAACTGGTAGCTATAGTTGGTTCAGCTTTGAAATAAAGGCAAAAATCCAAGTGTTTCGTGAGCCTCAGGGTATTATTTTTATAGCTGTCTGTGCGGCCAGTGAAGTTCTGTGCACAGCTATCATGGGTAAAACCCTTGCCTGAGTAATACTGTGACAGTAAAATCTTACTGTGTCACTTCCCTTCTTACAAGCTTGCTTGGTTTTTTTTTTTTTTTCTTAACTATGTGCCCAACTTACCTCTTTCTCATTGAAGCTGTTTGGAATTGGTCACAGATTTGCACTCCTTCACTCGGTTCATACTCATTCTTCCACTTCTTTTGATGAGGTTTCTGTAATGAACCAGAAGTGTGCAGTCTGCAATTCCACTTTGATGGTGGAACCAAAGCTTTAGTTTGCAGGTTGGTCGTATTTTGGATCTGAAGAAGGTTTTCCTCACCCAAAACCTATTTGCTCAAACTGTGTATCACTTGTTTCAATAGTATGTGCAGCTACAAACCTTGATTTGCTTTCACATTTATTTTGGCTATACGGCACTTTCATTTTTTAGCTGCTGTGAGTTTCTGCGTGTTGCCACGTGATAGTTTTCTAGAATTGCATAAACAAGAAATGCAGATTTTTTTAAAAATTTTTTTTTAGTGGGGTGAACCTCGGAAGTGTATGGATTTGTACTGAGACACAAATGACGCCTTTGTTGCTACGTCTGTTTTACGTTTGACTTGTGGGATGCCTATTTTGCACTAGCTGTAAGTCTTCAAAACGCGGCGTTTGTTAGGGTTTTTGTATTTCACTTTGCTTTAAAATTGCAGAAACAGCTTTTTAGGAGGTTATTGCTGAACCAGACCCAACGAACGCAGTTAGAAGGGGGCTGTCTCTTAAGCTAACATTTTCAGAATGGCTCTGGCATTAGCCTGTGGCAGACAGTCAGCTGTGCAGATTGAACACTGCCTCATTGTCTTGTCCATTGAAATTTCTGCCAGATGCAGAATTCTGTTAGAAGATAACTTTGGGAATAAGCTTCACCTGCAAAGATTTGCCACTGTGATGGAGTTAATGTGATGCTAACAATGGAACATCTGTAGGGTTGTGGCCTCTTCTACAAATTGGGCACAAGGGCAGAATAAACTGGACATGAAGACTTCTGTATCTGTCTTAATAGTACTTTTTTTTTGTTCAAATAGTAAATAAAATGTTTGAGATGACATCTCTGTAATAGAAAGTGGATTACTGCTGTTGGTGAACGCACACATCCTGTTCATCTGTGATGACTTATGAAATGTGCTCTCATCATCTTGCCATACCCACAGCAGGTGGTTTAGTCATGACCCATCTGGTAGAATGACCCGTTCTGTGCTTAATCCTCCAGCCAACGGATCCGTTCTCTGAAAAATAACTTATTTTCTGGGTTAGTTTTCAGCTACTTCTTTGAGCCCCTGTGGCTGCTTGAGGCCACCTTGGTGGCAGATGCAGAACTTCGAGCTGGGTTAGAAGTGGAGGTAGGGGATGAGGGAGATAATTAATTCACAAACCAAATGATCTGCAGAAACAAGGGCACACAGGACTCTGGAACCATCAGCAGGCAGGATGGGGGCACAATTGGCAGGGATCTGTCCACCTGTAATTAAGGGGAAGGGCATCATTTAAAGAATGGTTTTGACAGAGCAAGCAACTTTCAAAACCTGGTGCTTTCAAGTGAGTCTTCTGGCTTGAAAGTATGAAACTGTAAGGTGGTGGAAAGAAAAGGAGGAATTTCTGCAGTTTATCCCAAACTCCTGTAAAACTAAATGTAAGATGCACTAATTATTTACATAGTGAAGTAGGAAAATAATAGCACTAGCTCTGGATTGCTCATTTTATCTCATTCCAAGCATAACAGGAAAAAAAAAAAAAAAGCATCTTGCACCTGCAGTCTTTTACTGTCCTCTTTGATCTATTCCTGGGCATAGTTTGGGCATGTCAATAAACCAAATGAATGCTGTTAGCAAAAATTCTACTGGGGGACATCTGGAATAGTCAAATAGAGTATAGAATGAAATGACACAGCCTGAGGAAAAAATACACCATGCTTGGACTGTGTATTTGCAAAAAAAAAAAAAAACCCACAAAATACTCAATCCTACTGTAATGTTACCAACGTGCAGAATTGCCCCAGCATGGAAATAAAGTCTGAAATAATAAGTCTGTGCTGGTTTAATCTTTATTACTTCTTTTGGGTTCAGTGAAACGAAGATTAAACTGAAATTGGTTATTTAAAGAACCGCATCTATTATTTGGAATTTCTTTTAGAATTAAATTAGCCTTAATGTTAAACTCAGTATTTGGCCATACACTTTTTCCCCTCACTACTCATCTCTTATTGAAAGGACATTACCTTCTTCTGGAAGATCACTTTTAAGACATCTTCAGTCCCTTTCTCAAGTCAGGAAGGATCTAGTGTTTCTCCAAACCATTTTTTTTTTTTTTAAGGAAGGATCTGTTTTTCAACATCTTAAGTCCCTTTCATGGCAAAATAAAAAGTTTTACTGAAATTTTCTAATTCCTAAGTTTTTCTGGATAAATCTTTGTGGTATCTGGATAGTAGCCTGAGCAGGCCTTGTGAGGCAGCGAGTGGAGTCGGTATCTCCAGGAAAAGCAGAGCTCTTCCTTATGTCAGCCTTTTCTTTCATCTGTGGGAAACTTCTCTTTCATGCTGGCTTCCCTGTTCTGAAGGAATATCCCACTTCCATTTTGGAGGCAGCTCTCTTCTGTAAGATAAGGAGACTCTGACATTGGAGCTTGTATCTTGTTTGGAAGACCACCTTCTGTCTGGAGGTCAATTTTCTTATGGATGATGTTGACACTTTTCCTGTTAAAAAGCATGCAAATAGGTGAGTATCACTAAAATATTTTTCAAAGAGGTTTGTGGGGTTTTTTAAACCCCCTCTGTCAGAGGAAAAAAAAATCAAGTATGTTTTTAACACCCCCTCCTTCTCCCCTGCCCATTTTGGTAGCAAAAATAAGAACAATTTTATTGACCTACCCTTTGTGGGGGGGCCTGTTGAAATCCAGTGTATGCAGAGGCATGATCATAAGGAACATGTATTAGAAACTGTAATTAGATTTGGGTAGAAAAGTTAACAGCCAGCAGACATTTTTGGGAGGTGAAAATGTGTTTTTTTTTTTTCCACAAACACTTGTTTGTTTTGAGCAAGTTGCACTTAGATTGCAGCACCTGTACTGCTGCAAGTGGAACCACAGTCTTAGAAAACACTATTTCAACTTGCTAAGGGTGAAAAGTTGAAAATTTTCCACTTGACAGCATACAAAAAAAAAATTCCAATTAAAGTTGTTAAATATTCAAAACTAAAGTGACCGTAATTACCATTAAAAGATACAAATGTAAGGCTAGTATTGTCATAAGAGATTCATACAAAAGAGACCAATTACAGCACGATTTAGTGTTATAAACTGTGCCTATCGGCTAAACTGTGATGGTTCATTGGTTACAGCATGAGGTTTTGCTATTATCGAAACAATTCCAGATGTTTCTCAGGCATTTGTATAAGGTCCTCTAAATACCAGTTTTAAGACAGGCTTAAGAAACTTTTGAATGTATTATGATTTACGTTACAACATGAAAACTCTAAAGTTATCCTCAGATGTTACATTTACAGTGAATTTGAAAGAGAAACGAAATTCAGTTAGTTTGAACTGTAAATATATAATAATCTGGAGTATGAGGACAGTTTATGCAATGTTGGGTACTTTGAGCACATCTTGAGATTTACTGGTGTCACAGATGTCACTAAAATTGTCAGTAACCATAGGCCTAATCCATTCACTGGCTACTGCAGTCTTGGTTTCTGTGCTCAGCGAGCAGACAAGCTCTTTATTATTCATTATCACAGTCCAACTTTAATGTAGTAGCTTTGCTTCATATAATCATCCACTTTTAACGTACGGCAGTAGCAGTTTTGCTTCACTTAAGATACCTCAGCTGCCTTAAGTAGCCAGAGTAGGTAAGCATGCTTCAATTGAAAGTGAGCATTGCCACTTACATTTATTTATTTTTATTTCTGTGATTAGTAGTTGGCAGAAGGTCGGTTCCTGCTTCCCCTGAAGTAGATGTCAGAAGTTTTTTTTTATGTCTCTTAGCTTCCAGCTCCGGGGTGAATTTCTCTTCAAATCAAGTTTGGCAAGACGTTGATTACAGTAATTACACAACAGAGAAAACACAGCTGTATCCCAGGATGTTTCCACTTTTAATTATTTCATGATGATGGCATCGAGCGGACCAGTCCCGAACCGCAGTTTTCCTTTTTTTTTTTTTTCCATCTTGTTCTCTACCTTAACACTTCAGCCGCGCGTGTGCCACAGGAGCCCCCTGGCCTTGAGCTC